GCTTGGCAAGTGCCCCTCCTCCAACAACGCCAATTGATTGTGTCTTGATTGGAGCGGTGTCTCTGATATCGGTAGCCGTCGACTACCAAAATTAGGCCACCTCTCTCACAGGACCCCCTAACGGAAGCCACCTTGCCGCGGTGGGGGGGCTAGAGATCCCAATGATCTGGTGAGCTGGACCAGAGGGCTACCCATACTGGAGGGGTCACCAGTGAGGGATGAGACAAAATGGCTTCCAGGTGCACCAAGGCCTATGAGAGGGGATGGTGCACCCACCCCTGGTTCATTCCATCTTGGACCAGGGAGAACTCTCCCACGTTTGTCTGCGTGCGTGGCGTCCCGTATACCAGGAGACAGGAGTCCTGGAGGTTGAGCGATGCTGCACGCTGCACCCTGCAGCTAGCAACACGCCTCTTTGTCCTCTATTCTGGTCAGACGGGTGGCTTGACCAAGGCCCGGTCAAGTCAATCGGCTGGTCAATATGGCTAGGGTCAAGCAGGCACTGTTTCAGTCGGTAGCGCATAGGTCCCGCGACTACCATCAGCACTGTAATGTTGACTGCGTATATTTCCTCACTACCCCTGTGGCTGTTGGGAAAATTTGAGCCCCAACTATAGCTTCCCCTCGTTGGACTCCATGGCGGGTGGGGGGGTGGGGGGGTGAGGAAATGAAGATTTCTAATTTGTATGATTACTACAAATTTACAAAGAACTTGCTCTCCCTGACGACATTCGCAACCCCCTGGCCAATCCCTCTGGAACATCACATATTGTCACTCTGGAACCTTATCAGATTCCCAAGGGCAAAAATGGGAATCGTAATGGTTCCCGAGCACCCAAACCAGGTAAGAAGGAGGAAAAGTCCTCCTCAATCCATTAAGGAAATCTTACCTGGTAAATATGAAAGTGTATTGTATAGTAAATACTTAGTGGTGAAGACCATCGATGGTGTATCTATCATGGATCTTGATATTTTTGAAGTACATCGGAAGATAGTTGAGGTGTGCCAACGTGATCCTCGCATCACCCCACAGCGAGATGGCAGCCTGATAGTTGAGGTATCATCACCAGATGAGGAGTGACCGTCTGCGTACAATATGCAACATTCCTGGGCTCAAGTCTCATGTTCTCCTCACAAAACCCTCAATCAGTTGTAAGGGAATTGTCTTTTCCCGAGACCTGATGAGGTATTCTGAGGAGAAACTGTTAGAAGAACTGGAGAATTTTAATGTAGTAGTAGTAAAACGTTTTAAGAAGAAAGTTGATGGTTTTGGAACAGTCGACACCAGCTCTTCTTCTAACTTTTGAATCCTTAGTCCTTCCTGAATCGGTTAAGTTGGCATGGTACCACCTCAAGGTCAAGCCATATGTACCATACCCTATGCGGTGTTTCCACTGCCAGGGTTATGGGCATGGAGCCAACAATTGCCGTTTTAAGGAAAATGGACAACCAAGAGTGTGTGTGAAGTGTGGTACAACAGGTCATCAAGGAGATGACAACTGTCCAGGTCCAATATGCTGTTATCACTGCAAAGAAGATCATGAAGCTTCTTCTAAGCAATGTAAAAGGTACAGATTTGAAAAAGAAGTATTGGTAATAAGGACCAAGGAGAAAGTTAGTTTTTGCAGAAGCAAAGCGACGTGCCCGTGTGCTATTTGCACAGCCGGGTAAGTCCTTTGCTTCAGTTCTAGCCTATCCTCCTTCCCGCCATCCCTTCCCTACAATACTTCTAATACCACACACTCTGCCACTACCGTTAAACATCAGTCCTCAAATGCTGAAACTAATTCTGGTGAGTTGGTCCACCAGAAACGAAGTAGGAGTGATGGGTCTATTGAGGAGACTCCTCCTCCCAAAGTAAGGTCTTTGGAGCCATCAGTTAAGGCTCCAGAGACCTCAACGGTGACAGCTCCAGCTGCCACCACATCCACAGGGGCCTCTACTGCTAGGGCAGAATGCCCCTGAAGCAAAGGCTCAGGCACATCCTTTGCACAGGCAGAGGAATCCTGAGCCTGTCCAAAGAAAGCCTGTGGAAACTAGTTCCACAGGTAAACAAACCCACCAAAAGGTTTTCCCAAGATGCTGGAAAGGGACAGCCTAAAGGTGTGGGGTGGACCTTAACCACAGGTGCTGCCAAAACACCTAATGAAATAACTTGTCAACCTGAAGAACTGGATACCCTAATCCAATGGAATTGTCAGGGAATTCATGCAAAATGGAAAAACTGCAACATCTGATAGCTTCTTGTAATCCAGTTTGTGTATGCCTACAAGAGATTATGATCAGGGAAAATCGTTTAATTTCCCTGAGAGGATTCCAAGTTCAAGCCCATTATGGGACCTTTGATAATGGACCTCATGGAGGAGTAGCAGTGATGGTACGTCAGGATATTCCCTCCAGGCCATCCACCTTCAGACGACACTGCAGGTGAGGCCGTGAGAATAGGCTTGACACGACCTTACACTGTTGCATCCATCTACCTCCCTCCACATAATCTCAA